TTTGTCTCTCGTTGCCCAATTGCCCAATTCCAATTGCTTTAGATCAATGATTGATGGTTGGCGGTCGCGCGGCTTTTCTTTCATATTATTTCATTTCAATTTCAATTTGAATCACAATCTGAGTATCAGAGTTTCGGTTTCAATTTCTCAATTGCTCAATTGCCCGCAATGCGTTTGGCATTTCGAATAATGAAACCTTTAATAAAATCAGCTCGCACATAAACTGTGTAATTACGGTCGGTCCGTTGGGCCGTCAGTCACACAGCTCGTTGCTTTTAAAGGTTAAAACTGAGCATTTAAAATTTTTAAAAGCCGTTAAAGTGCATAACAACAAACACAGCGCACACCATGACAATGACAACAACAGCAACAACAATAACAACAATTAACCAAATTGCGCTTTGTTCCAATTTTAAAGCTTAGCTCTTTCTATGCCCAACACATACACACACACACACACACACAGCTGTTAAGTCTTTAAACCTTTCAAACGTTTGGCCAAAGTTCGAATCGTTTATTGCCAAAAGCAACAACTGAAATCTTTACTTTTTATTTAAATATGGTATTGAAGTTGAGACTACATTTGACTTTAAGTCGAGGCTAATATTACATTTAAATCAATTTCATAATAGGAACCATTCAATTTGAATAAATATTATACATAGAGCCAAGCAAAAGTGCTTTAGTCGAGAAAGCTCAAGCCTTGACAAAGATAAATTCTTAATATTTATTGATCCTACATCGTAAAACTTGAGAGAAATGCTTAAAATAATGGATTTCGATATCGATACCTATCGATTGCTTGCTTATCGACTATCGGAAACAAACAATTGCTGCGCGGGAACTCGCTTGCTCTCATAGGTTTTTGAGATAGTCGCGCTCTTGCAAGTGGAAGATGGACGGATTGATGGAAGGCCGGACGGACAGTCGGATATACTGGCGACCACGGTCAGATCGACTCGGCTATTGATGTTGATCAATAATATATACACTTAATAGGGTCGAAGACGCTTCCTTCTACTTGTTACAAACATTCGCACAAAACCGATACACCCTTTTAACATAAAAAGAAAATAAGTTGAAGATAACAATCAATTAATCAAAAAAACTGTCGATAACAACATTAGTACTCAGTTGTTACAATCGGTATTATCGATACCTTTCAATAATTAAAGCAATAGCTGTTATAACAATCAGATCAAAGAGCGAGCTTGAACTTAAAAGCCAGCTAACCGTAAGATATTCGTTGCTCTTCAGAAATTGAAGAATTATCAAAACAAAACATGCTTCTTTTAAAAATATCGTTTAATGTTTAATGCAAAAATTTAATGCAAAAATTAAACAAATTAATTGGGCGTCATATAAATGAGAAAGTCTGAATAACTTGATAATTACAATTCAAAATGAATAGAAAATAACTAAGTAAGAGTTAACTCTAATTGTTATTGTACTGGCCCATTGAAAGTCAAAGACCCAGTTTCCAGTAACCACTTCAAAGCCCGATCCTGACACAGTCTCTCGCGTGTAATTGCCGCAACCGCAAATAGGTGCACGTATGAGTATTATGTACAATATGAGTATGTGCGACTAAAGCGGCAACCACAATAATAAATGAAGCCGAAAGCAGATCTTCAGATTGCATGCAACGCCTTTTTGGCCACGTTTGAGCCACATCAATTGGGATTGCGTTATGGCCTGTGTTAAGATCGTTATGAATTTTATTTACTTTACTTTTTTTTTATATTTTATATTTGTATTTATTTATGTCTTATTTCATGCGCTCATTCAATTTCATTCATTGTGCAAATGAATGGCAATTGTTTGCTTATGATTTTACGGCTTGTTTGTGCCACGAATCGGGGGCGTCTCTTGACAACCTCATCAACACAATGGCCAACGCACATCTATCAGTATATATGTATATACACATGTAAGTCTCGTATCTTTTGGATGCGAATCGCAATTAAAATGTCAAGCAACTTGCGTATGATTAATTTACAACAACAAAATAAAAAAAAAGAGGGTATACATAGAGGGAATACCAGCAAGAGCAATCGTGAATTATATAAAGCAAAAAAGAGCAACTTTTCACACTTTACAACGATTCACAAAAACTCATTAAAAACAGGAAGGGAGAATGGCTATCTTCGGCTTACTGTGATAGAAATGTGGCATAGAACTTAAGAGATCTTTTATACAAATGTTTTCCGATCGATTTTTCTTGTGTATGCAATATGATGTAGATATTAATCTAATAATAATTAATCTTCATACAAAAACTTATTTCATGAGCAATTCTATCTGTAGAGCTATGTGTTATGGTAGGCCAATCCTAAAAGGAAGGTTACTCCCATGCGACCTAACTACACGGCGAATCATCTAAACACTTTATACTTAGTACTAGACCACATCGTTAATCAACTTCATTGTAATTATCCCATCATTGTAAAGTGCCCCTCAATGTAAATACCATTTAGGCTAACAAACATGGTTTCTATAATGTATATCACAGTCTTCTGCTTGGCAGAGATCAGAAGGTATTGATCGATTCTAGCGGCTAATATAACAAATTGAATAGGATTTTGCTTATACGCAAGCGGCTTGGTAAAACTGGTAAATGCCAAGTAAAGCCTATTGCCAAGTCTACAAGCTCCATACAGCTTTTCATACTGCTAGAACTTAATTTTGGACCGATTCTTCCTGTGATAACTACATGATATAGTTTTGCGATTCGATCGATTTATTTCTATATAATGCCTGCAACAGAAAGACGTATCGATGGAAAGTTTCAGGAAAATAGCTTTAAAACGGAAAGACTTGTGCTTTAATAGAAATACACCGAAAGAGCAGGCTAAATCGGCTTGACTTTGGACTTTATGCGCTCGGAGACGTCTTCTTCTATGTGTTTCATATTTCATGAAAAAGTTATTCAAAGTATTCATTCCAAGTCAAGCTCCAGTCAGCCATAAGTTCTATATACGTTTGCAAAAAGTATCTGCTAGTTGAGCATACCCAATACAGCAAGTGAGATTGCTCATAAAATATTCCAATGAAATTTTGAGCATTAACATTAATTATGCAAAGTGTGTGTGTGTGTGTGCTTAGGAAAACTGAGGGAAAATGTTAAGAAAAGAAAATTTGCTGCCAGCTGTAGCTAGTTTGACAATGGATGTAGATTGCCAGGCATACACACACATAAAGTACTAACAGCCATTACAGACGTGTGTATACAACTGCATATTAAGGCATGTATGTAGCTGTGGGCTGTGCCATCAGCAAATAGGCAAATGGGCAAATGGGCGAGTGGGCGAGTGGGCAACTGGGACTGGGACCGAGACTCTGGCGACCGCATGACATAATGACACAAAGGCAGAAGATGAAGGGAAAAGTGTGAAGTGAAAAGTGAGAAGCAGCTGCTACGCGATAAACAAAAGAAATTAACTTGGCAACAACAACAACAACAATACGGAAGCAAGTGCACTGCGGCAACTGGGCAGATGAGACAAGACCCGGTTTAGCGGGGGGCACCAAAATTGTTGCCGATGTCGTAAGCTACAGCCCCATCTGGGAAAATGTTTTTGGAGCGCATTAGATGGTTACATACATACACCTATATACATATATATATACACGCTACATATGTAAATCTTTTGTTGTGTTTTGTCTTTTCGGGTTTATTGTTGCAGAGCTCTGATTAATTAGCTGGCAGTTTTTTTTTCTTTTTTTTTTTTTTTTTTTGATTTTTCTGGTTTCTTCGCGCTGCACATCTCTCAGTTTTGGGCGCTTGTCTTTAGTTACTTAACGCCGCCGACAAATTGGCAACTCGGGAAGACAACTTGGCTCCAAGTCTGTTCGCGTAGCCGGTAATTGGATGCCATGTGGCAGAGGCAGAGGAAGAGGCGTTGTCTTGAATTTGCACCTAGTTTAAATTATGGCTACCGTGGCAGGGCGCAACTTATATAAGTACTAATTAGGGGAGTGGTTCTGCTAATATGCGACTGCATTAAAATCAAGATGCCATATCAAGACATATCTTTAAGCAGAAAGTTAACTTATTATATTATTACATAGATAAACATTTTATGAGGAATATATCAAAGAGTTTGTTTTTTTGTTGCTCACCTGACAGATTGATAAGCCCTTTACTTAGCCCTTATCTTCTTAAGAAAGAAATCAACTTAAATATTCTTATCCAATTTAATTTGCTCTTTTTTTATTTTTTTCTCTTTTGACTTTACTAATTGGAGCCCCTCACGATCAGTGTGAATTTCATCTATCTATATAATATTTATTTTTGCCGTGAAGCAGATCCAAGTTGGGTTCAGTGACATTTACAATTTCTAAGTTCAATTAGAATCCGAATGAAATTCTGATCAGCATTTTCTTCCATGTCGCTTTGCATTACCAACTTGACCTGTGTTTTGGCTTTTTGCTATATTCTTGGAGTTGCCACATGGTTGGGGTATTATTTAACTTTTGCTTGCTCCCATTTTGGATGGTCAAGTTTGCGGGCTTCGAATTAACATGCAGGCTAAATGATACGCAATCCAATTAAATCTATAAAGCTGAGCTCTGACATGCCATGCTATGCGCTGCGCTGCTCTTGGCCGACATCATTATTATACAAGGCAAATTTGATACCTGACACGCCCACTAGACGCCCAAACAACGTAGCAACAACAGCAGCAGCAACAACAGCTGCCAAAGTGAAAGCGATGCCACAAATCAAAACCATCAGCAGCTGCCTTTCTCCCCTCACCCGTCAATGCCCCCTGCAACCGGTTGATGTTAACGCTGATGTTGTATATCGTTGTTGCTGTTGTTGTTGTTGTTGTTGCTGTGGTTGTTGTTGCTCTATGGCCGTTGATGACTTTATGCACCACAATTCTCAGCTGGCCAGCAAAGGGAAAGGTCTGTTGGGCGGGTAGGCAGGGGAAGGTATCTTTTTGAAGAGGTGTCACTTTCGCTGTCGGCTGCTAATTAAGTCGATTCAAACTTACCGTTTTGATGGTCCGCTTCCTGTTTAACAGGCTGCGGCGGCTTGGCCACAGCCAGCGTGGAGGAGAGCATAAGCATTAGGAGGATGCCAGCGTAAAGCTGCACTCGATGTCCTGGTGTCATTGTCCTGTCCTGGGCGGTTGTTCCTGTTTGGTTGGATCTTTCGCTTAGCTCAATTGCCAATTGCAATTCGCAATTACGCAGTTGATTGTTGATGTTGTTGTTCCTGTTGTTGTTGTTGTTCCTGTTGTTGTTGATTTGGTTTCGCTTTCGATATGTTTAGTTTGTTGTTTTCTTAATTTGCTATTGACCTGTTGAATACTGCTGCAGCTGCATTTCACTTTCATTTTGAACAGAAAAAAAATAAGTTGATAGTCGAGCAAAAATTTAAAGCGACAACAGCAACAACAACAGCAGCAAGCACAGCCACGGCAACAACAACACCAACAGCAACAGCAACGGAGGCTGCAAAGTGAAATTTCACTCTCTTGTGGAGAGCAAGTCTTGCAAGTGAATTGTGTGTTGGGGTCACGCACTCCTGTTGCCAGTTGTTGTTGTTGTTGCTGCTGGCGATAATCGGCTGCGCGTTAAGGCCATAAAAATAAAAAGTATTTTGTTCAGCGTTTTTAGCAACAGGAATTACAACAACGACAACAACAACTGCAACAGCTACAACAACAACTGCAGGCACTTGTCTTGCGGCTGTTGATTTTTATGCCGTTGTCGTTGCTGCCACATGCCACATGCCACATGCCACAACGCCAAAAGAAATACACTTGCAACATTAATTTTTCAATATATTATTAGAGCTCGCTATCATATTGCTATTTATTGTTTATGTTTTTTCTTTGCTTTAGTTAAAATATTTGCTGTTAGCAGGAAACTATTAGCGCGTAAAAAATGTTTATATTTTTGGTGTATTCAAGTTGTGTAATTAATTTGCATTTTATTTTAAATTTGTATGGCACTTGCTGTAGTTATTTTTGTTGCTGTATCAATTATGTTTCTCGCTTTTGCTTTTCTCTTGTGCGTGTTTTTTTTTTTTGCTTAAAGCACTTTTCAGTTTCATAATGCGGAAATGCCGCCCAATCAACACTCGAAACACTTGAAAATTCAACAAAAACAGTAAAAAAAAAACAGAAAAAAATAATGTGTGTGTCCACTGAAATTGTTATTAAAACGCGAACGAAACGCGGCGAAAACGCGCGTAATTGCAGGATGTGGCACGATTTTGCGCGTTAGATTTTGCACTTCCGCGCCGAAAGCAATTCACACACATACGCACACACATACACACGCACGGGCATGCATCTCATTTGCTTACGGGCGATAGGTCTCGGTAGGGAGGGCGGATTGAGGTGTGGGTGAACGAGGTGGCAAGTCGGGATAACGGCAACAAACCCAGAAAAGAGAGAAACGCGACGTTTGCCAAGCGCTCGCTGCGAACGCCGTCAACTGTCTGAGCTGCGCGCAGGCGCCGTCGTAGACTTTTAAAGCGCTGTAACAGCTGAGAGAAAAAGACAGACAGAGCGAGACAGAGAGAGAGGGCGAAACAGAGAGCGAAAGAGAGAGAGAGAGAGAGAGAGAGCTGCATAGAGCTGGAGAGCGCCAGCGAGAGCATTTGTAAGAGTTGGCGCTTCATGAATGAAGCGGCCCATCGATCAGCTGTGCCTTAAACCGGTAAACGTTGTAAATGTTGTCCACAGTAGTTGCTGCCGCCGCTGCAGCGCCTATTGCTACTGCTGCTGCTGTTCTGTTGGCCAGCACGTGACGCATACAATTGGAAGCCCACCACACAGCCTTTAAACAAATGTTTGCTATATGTCAGGAAAAAGTCGTCCAAATCTCAAAACCTCTGAGATTCACAAAATGTAAAAAATTATTAATCCTATCACAACTAAACAAAACTAGTTAATTATGTTGATCAAACTGTATTTGGCGTGTACTTATGAAAGTACATGTTTGCCTGAAGGGCTTACTTAAAGCCAAGAGAATTGCGTAGAAGGGCGCTACTTGAAAATACCTTTTTTAGCTCATTTATTCTGCTGCACGAGGCGCATGCCAAGAAAAAGTCGAATAACTCTCAAAATCTTTGAAATCCACAAAATGTGATCAATTAAAAATCCAATTAAAATTTAACATAACTAGTTGATTAACAGTTGATTTAACTTATAAGTATCACTGATATAAAAGTACATTATAGATTAAAAGTACTTAAAAGGTGTACTTGAATCTATGAGAATCGCATAGTAGGGCACTGTTTCAAAATGCGTGCATAACTCAATTTCTTAACTCAATTATTACTTAAGACTATTGCCAAATTCATTGGCACCGCGCTTGCTGGGCCGATTCAGCTGGCGTGTAATTAATTTGACCCGCTCGCCTGTTGCGGGCCCTACGAGAGATAACTGATTTGACGGCATTTGCCCATTGCACATTACGCAGATTTTTGACAGCGGAACATGGCAAATGAAATGGCTAAGCCAAGCTATTGGTATATTAAAGATATAGAGATAAAGCGCCCCGAGGGCTTTGCATATTTTAAATATTTGGCAAATTAACGCACATATGAAATATATATATAAAAACAATTGGAAAAGTGGGCAGATATTTGTGCCTTAAAAATGATTTGCATAATATATGAAATCAATTTTGAAAACGAGTTTCCCATATCATTAACTAGACTGTGACAAATGTGAGCCATTCGATGATTTGATGTGACTTTTATGAGTTTCAGCTTTGTTATTACCGTTAAGTTAATCGAGATGCCCACTAATTGAGTATCCACTTGAATCACAGTGCACTTTACAAGTAATTACGGATATTGCTTTCAAACAGATTTGTTCTTTAGCTAATACGATGATCGATGGTACCCCTGACTCTAGCCCATGTCCAAATTCAAGTCAAAGCCATGTAACATCTTCGCGAATCATTACCTAAACAATTTGACTTCAACAAAAAATACTGTCATGCCAAAAACAAAGCAAATCGAACGAATTCAACTCTGAATTTGCATTAAACTGAACAAACGGGGCCGAGAGTAGCTACACGAGTTTCCAGCTTGCTGTACCAAATATCATGTCAATTATATTTTCCGAGGCACTGTTGTCTACCCAGGGGCAAAGTTCACAGAAAATGGGCTTTGATTTTGCTCGCTACGCAAGTTTTCACTTTATAGCTCTTAAAATTCACAACTAGTTTAAGCTTTGAAAGAGAGATAAGTACATTTTTATATACAGCTATTTATTTCAACAATTGTTCAACCAAACTCTCTTTAGATTTTTTGCTAGTTCCTGTACATATTCTGCTTATTTTAATGTATTTGTTTATTAATGTGAAGGTCTCTTTACCGTGGCTTAAAATTCATTTATTCTGAAATTTAAAAATGTTTGAGCTACCCATGCCAACTATGACTATACGCTTTGAACAATGTCAAATTGCACAATTGCAGTAGCTGCAACAACAACAATAACGACAAACACAACAACGACAACGAAAACAACAACAAGGACACAAATAGCATTTGCTCTCAAGGCGTCACGATGGCATGTAAAGAAAATTAAGCGCAAATGCAAACACGAAAAACAAATCGGAGATGCGAACACAGATACAAAATGAGCAACAAAGTCTTTAAGCGCATTGTAGCCCGATGATGTCATTGATATGGCACAGATATCAATTCCCAGCAGCGACTACAACATAGGTGCACATATGTTTAGATAGATGTAGGGGATGTGTAGGGACGAGTACGAGATACACTGAAAAACAATTCAAAGAAACCCAAAACTGTTGGCCCGAATTATATTTTCAATATACTATAGAAGAAACATATCTGTATCTGCATATATCCATATTTACATCTTAATCTGATCAACTTTTTAAATCTGTAACTTTCTGTATCTGTATTTGTATCTGTATCTGTATCTGTATCTGTATCTGTATCTGTATCTGTATCTGTATCTGTATCTGTATCTGTATCTGTATCTGTATCTGTATCTGTATCTGTATCTGTATCTGTATCTGTATCTGTATCTGTATCTGTATCTGTATCTGTATCTGTATCTGTATCTGTATCTGTATCTGTATCTGTATCTGTATCTGTATCTGTATCTGTATCTGTATCTGTATCTGTATCTGTATCTGTATCTGTATCTGTATCTGTATCTGTATCTGTATCTGTATCTGTATCTGTATCTGTATCTGTATCTGTATCTGTATCTGTATCTGTATCTGTATCTGTATCTGTATCTGTATCTGTATCTGTATCTGTATCTGTATCTGTATCTGTATCTGTATCTGTATCTGTATCTGTATCTGTATCTGTATCTGTATCTGTATCTGTATCTGTATCTGTATCTGTATCTGTATCTGTATCTGTATCTGTATCTGTATCTGTATCTGTATCTGTATCTGTATCTGTATCTGTATCTGTATCTGTATCTGTATCTGTATCTGTATCTGTATCTGTATCTGTATCTGTATCTGTATCTGTATCTGTATCTGTATCTGTATCTGTATCTGTATCTGTATCTGTATCTGTATCTGTATCTGTATCTGTATCTGTATCTGTATCTGTATCTGTATCTGTATCTGTATCTGTATCTGTATCTGTATCTGTATCTGTATCTGTATCTGTATCTGTATCTGTATCTGTATCTGTATCTGTATCTGTATCTGTATCTGTATCTGTATCTGTATCTGTATCTGTATCTGTATCTGTATCTGTATCTGTATCTGTATCTGTATCTGTATCTGTATCTGTATCTGTATCTGTATCTGTATCTGTATCTGTATCTGTATCTGTATCTGTATCTGTATCTGTATCTGTATCTGTATCTGTATCTGTATCTGTATCTGTATCTGTATCTGTATCTGTATCTGTATCTGTATCTGTATCTGTATCTGTATCTGTATCTGTATCTGTATCTGTATCTGTATCTGTATCTGTATCTGTATCTGTATCTGTATCTGTATCTGTATCTGTATCTGTATCTGTATCGGTATCTGTATCTGTATCTGTATCTGTATCTGTATCTGTATCTGTATCTGTATCTGCATCTGTTGTTCGCGTCTCGTTGTGCTCAGCTTTGTGCATTTGCCAGATTCAATGACCGTATCTAATATGCTATTGACCAAGTGACTTGGTTCAAGTAGTCTTCGTTTTGGTGTGCATCTGTAGAGTATCTCTTTTACATGGCAGCGTGACACTATTTGGCTCAACTTCGATAGACGCCATAATTGATTATTTTAATTGCTTCGCACTTGATTGTATCTGCTTGCAGCAACAAATCAATTCGTTGCACATGTTGCACATGTTTGTCGTATGTGTTTCTAGGGTGTTACTCCTCCTCCAGCAACCCTTTACCCATCGTCTAGCGGCATGCACTGAGCTCTGTGCAACGCCCACTGAAGGTCTTCGGCGCTATGCCACAGACTCGTAACTCGTAGCTCGTATCTTGTATGTATCTCAATATTTGTATATATGTATCTGCGTATCAGCATGTGTAGGCGTTGGAATACATATCCACAGACAGACAAGCATATACGGCTCAAGATGATAGCTGCGTTGTTTCCGCCAAGGCGCTAAGGCAATGCGCAGCTTTTAGCGCTAATAGCAACGCATTCGAGTGGCGCGGGGCGGAGATAGTGGGGGGCGTGCCTCAAATCAGGCTTTAAAGCAATTACGCACTCGGCAATGTTGTCAACGTTGGCTCCGTCCACTTCCTGCTCCAAGCGACTGTGTCTGTGTCTGGGATGCGAAATGTCATTTAAAAAGATAGCTTTCTGTGTGTGCATTAGCCAGGCCTAATGCCAGCTAAGCTCGGCTTATTGGCAAACTGGCTGACAAAAAAGTTGACTATCCCATAAAAAAACACAAGTTTGAAATGAATTTGAGGGCGGCTGCAAAGACATATCGCTGAAACAACACGTAATTATTGTATCTTCAAAGTTTGCCAAATCATAAGAGCTTCTCACATGCAAGCAAAATCGAAAATAATTAATATTAATTAACTAATGTTTCTGTCTGATACAGCTATCAAGATTTGTACTGCTCGTTTATCCAACTGTTAAGTTCTTTAACAGGTACAGTGTTGCCAACCTCTAATTGACATTGCACAAAATTTAGTCAAATTTAAGCCATTTTCATATTTATTTTACCTAAAGTATTGACTGAATATGGCTCGAACGCTAGGCCAATCAGTTGAGAGAGTTATCTACATATACTAATATCAATCTTTACATCTGGTTACGCGGACTTAAGATCTGCGACTGTTGGGACCGGGCCAATCAGTGTGTTGCCAACAAAATGAATTATTATGCATAGCAAAATGGGAGTTAAGACTTCAGTGCATTTCAGTTTCATTAGTGCAGAAGCAGGAATCGACATCTTGTGTCATAAATAAACAAATGATGAGTGTTCCCAACTTATATGCCGCACACATGACCTATAGTATTTATAAGGAAATTACGCTAGACCCGTTGCCAGAGCGGAATGTGTCGAAATAACTGCAGCCAAGTCGACGGCAACTAAATTTCAAAATTGCGCACAAAATTAATGAAAGTTCCAGCGGGTATAGACGGATCATAATAAAATTGAGAATTGAGTTAGAAATATGCATTTTATTATGCTGCGCTAGGGGGAAATAAAAGTTCAAAGTTGCCGGCAAATGGCTGCAAAATAATGAATTAAAATGTGAGGAAAAACTTGGCCCGATCAATTCCGGGTAATTCCAACTAGTTGCGTTTAAAGAGCTTACGCTTAAGGGATATTCGCACATTAATTATATGAACTATGGATTATAGTTGAAAGATTGGCTGACAGAGTTCGACTACAGCATTAGTCTAAGCACAAACATTTTCCAAGCTTCGTTCCAAAGCCAAATATCTTCAACCATACTTTAATAATTTATAAATAAAAAATATATATAAATTGTAACATATTAAGTTGTTATATTCCATAGACTGCTGTTAAGCTAGATACTTTGGTAATACTTGCATATAAAAATAGGTGTTGAGATACATTTCGAAATAACTCTACAAAAGAAAAGCTGTGCTTTTTAAAGCTTCAATTACAAGCTTTGCTTTGCGGTCAAAAGCTTTCGTGGCGCAGTGCAAGCAATATTAGAGCTCAGCAAAAGCTCAAGCATTGTCTTTTATCTTCGTTCAGTTTAAGCTGTAAAGTTGTTCTCTCCAACTTAACGAACTTGACGAACTATTAAGCCGAAAACCCATCAAAACTTTTACAATAAAGCTTGGCTAAGATAAATATTTTTGAAATCAAACAAGTTTTGCAGTTATTTGAACTGAGTAGAGGCTAAAAAGCTTACAAAGTTTATTTATTTAATAAAAGAAAATAAATGTCGTGGTAAATATTGTCAAATAGTTTTGTGGATTAAAGACAAAATGCCGCATAACGTGAGTTGAAAACTTCAGTTTTGATATATGTATTTAAGTACTTAAAACAATTTAGTAACTTTATGTTTTCCTGTCAATATTTCTTCCCTTTTGCAGTCTTTTGGAATAGTGAAGCAGTAGAGTCTAAAACATCTGAAATTTACAGCACCGTGGATTCTCTGGGTAAAAGGGATTGAAGAATTGGTTAGAAATAATTAAATTGTGGCTCTTGCCGAACAGACACATAAAAAGTTACCGTATACGATCCATAGAGTCGAGTACGCGTCCCATAGCCTGCGCATTGAGCATATGGCAGATGCATAACCAATCACAACAGATCTTCAGTTCAGATGAGAAATATAGAAATTTCCGAATCTTCATCTGTGGGCTTGCTCAGCTGCAGCTGTCTCCACTGGAATGGAATGCAAGCTAATGTCTGTATAAAAATGTCAACTTCTATCAAAACATGTCTTACCATTATTCTGTGCACAGTCCTCGTAACACATTCAACAATTTTTCATTCAATTTTGATAGATTTTCCTTAAAGTTTTCTGTCAAACCTTTTTTATTTCTCAACATCTAACGATAATTCAAATGACATACTTCATATGCTCAAACAAATGCTACAATCTCCAAAGATAAATCCCACACTTGTTGACAATTTGGTCTATAAATATTTCTTGGTCTATATATGTTTCTGTCAGTATGGCATAAAGCTCTAAATGGTAGCTTATCGGGTGTACTAAGAAAAGTTTTCTGATTTTTAAGATATATAATATATATTAAAATATAATATATAATATGTAGTCAATATTATATAATGTATAATATATAAGATGTATAAAGTTAATTAATGAACAAATTTGAATCACAAAACGAGGATCTCGTTTGACAAATGGGAATGGGTATATGAACTTGGCTGTTGAGATGGGTGGAAGAAGTTGCCTTTAATCATAACCGAGTTATCCTACCTTAAAGAGAGAGCGAGGGGGACTGGTTGGACTAATTTTGATTGATGCAATTAATTTATTCTGAATTGTTTGGCCGGGCTGGCAAGAGGAAGCCGCGCGTGGAGATTGCGCCAAAGGACATGCGACAGTTAAATGCAACCAGAGATTAAATGTCAATCCTTAAAATAATAACAGCAGCCCACAAATGGGTCGCCAGCGCCACGAACAACCACTACAATAAACGGATAATGAAGCGAACAAAGGACCAGAGCAGAAGCAGAAGCAGAAACAGGAGCAGAAGCAAGAAGCGGCAGCAGGAAGCGCAATCATTACGTCCATTGGCTATCGCATTGTGCGCGAGTCCTACACCGGTTGCGGCTGGACATTGTTGTGGCTGCGATTTGGAGGCGGCAACACTTTGCCCTTGGCCGACCGCAGCGGGGGCGTGGAAAGGGGCGGGCATCAGGTCTAAGCTAGGGCAAAACAAATGACGCAGTCGGACCGCGGGGACGGCGCGAGACAGACAGACAAATAGCATCGCCTGAACGGGGCGCTCTGATTAAATGCGCGCTTGATTTGAAAATGATTTCATTAATTAAATGCGTCCACCTACCAGTTGCCCCGCACGCCACTTGCCATTTGCCCCGCGCCACTTGCCCTTTGCTCTTCGCCCGCGGGCTCATTGTCTGCCCCTCTGTGTGCAGGCTGTAAAAATGTATTTTGACATTTAATTATAAATTCTGGAATCCGATCGCTTTCACGTTTGCTTTTTTTTATCACATTTCACGCAATGCCTGCACTGAAAAAAAGCCAAAGGCGACCAACTGGCCAATGCTCGCATTTGAAATACCCTCTAAGTTATTGCAAATGGGTAAAAAGGAATTAAATGTTATTTTGCTTATTATTATATTATCTTTTGATCGCTCTAGACAGCTGAGTTGTTGCCCAGTCTTTTGCCATAGATGTTGTTTTTGTTTTATCTCACCTGGCTGCACTCGAGTGTGACTGTTATCTGACAATAGATAACAATTTCTGACTTACTCGCTCTGTCGCTTAATCTTAGTATTTACTTCTATCTGCTCGTAGTCGTTGCCCGTAAAGGTTTGCCAAATGCAGACCATAGCCAAGTGGTCGAGCATACTCTGTTGGTATTGTGATATCAGAGGGTATGCTAACAGCCAACGAAATTATTTCGATTATAGTTGCAAATATGAAATCAAAGCTTGACCTCAAAAAATTCAATTTTAATTGCATATTTAAATAAAATAAAATATTTAAATATAAAAGAACGTGTCGGGTGTTGATGGTCACAGCATAGGACTGGCTTAAAAGGTCTGATCGTTAATTTTTATAACCCCTTTGGACCCTTCTCTGTACGTTTTTAGCCGCAGCCAAACCGTCGTCAGTGTACCCCAACAAATCAACAGCTTATTCTTCGGCTGTAGGGCATCTTCTAGTCGCGTACTCCCAACTGAGGCATGCTCACAATTTGGCTTAGCAATTCATTTGCCATACACCCTTGCATATTGGCAACCGATTGCAATCGACACAGCCACAAATTGAACAACGCCGACGGCCATTAGCGACTGGCCTTTATGCGACTTATAAGTATGTGTGTGTAGGCACATCTGTGATGGCACATCTATACCCTTCCCAACGTTTCATATGCAGTATATTTGGCCTACTTTGGCTTGGTTGCCCAGTTAGTTACATAAGGTTACCCCACTGCTAATCCTAGCTGACAATTTTCAAGCTAATTTACTACTGTAAATTATATATTGTTTATTGTATATCAGTAAAGAGTGCAGTACTTTAATGAACACATTATAAAATAAACACACAATCCCTGTTATTAGTCGGTAACTATTAGTATTCCACTTATTTTCTGCTAGCGAAAATATCGTTAATATCGCTATCCTCGATATCGTTAAGAATCGATAACAATCTCCAAATCAACATATGTATCTCGTGGACTATAAGAGCTAGATACATTTGATATGCATCTTCTCATGTAGTTTACCGAGAATATTTAACTTGTTTGACATCTTAAAAGACTTTTGCCTTGGGCCTTGGCTTGCGCATAATATATTCACTCTGCGCTTCGATAGGGTATATTCTAGTCGGCTATAAAACTCTTGTTTGTTATTATTGAATTTAAAAACTCAGTTTTGGGTCGATTAAAGGAATTTTTAACTTTAACGCATGCAACGGCTTTTCGCACATTTTCCCGCCTTTTGGCATAAGTGAAAAATCGGTACAACGGCTAAAAGTTAAGCTGCCCTGTACCAGTGCATGGATTATCAGGCGTAAGCAAGATTTTTTAATTGATCTGAATTCAGCAGCTGCCACTTGATGTAAATACTTTTGATCGCATTTTCGTTGAAGAGATTTGGCTGTGATTTGTATTGGCAGCTGCTCACTTATGATCATTATTATTGGGGAATGTTGCTCGCACTCATTAGACCCATAAATACTCGTAGGCACGCATCCATTTTGGGCTGCCAAACTGGCAACTGGGCTAATTAATTTCACTCTGCGTGACTTGCATGACCAAAAGCGACTGCTGAGTGCTCAGTTCTCAGGGCTCGCTGAGAGGGTGGCTGGGTGGCTGGCTGCTTGGCCATTTGGGGTTTGCGCCCGCTCTGCTGATGTACTTATACTCGCATCCGTTTAATATATGTATATATGGGCTAAGCCCTGTACTCTCTCATATTGGCAGCGCCCAAATTGTATGAGTAATGATTAAATGCTCGTTTGCCAAGTCTAGTGGCCACGCCCACCGAATGCAGTGGGCCCTGTTGCTTGTCGTCATGGCCAATGAATCATGAGACGTGCGTCCAGTCAGCGACAGCAAATAGTCAACCCCGTCTTCATCATCATCAGCATAAGATTGATCAGTTGGAGCAGCAACTGCGAGTGTTTCCTTCTAATTTGGTTCGACACACACACACACACCAACACACACAGGCACGCGCGAGTGTGTGTTTATAAGGTTCAATGACCTGACTGCACGCCTTTTTGGCCCCTTTACCTTGCTTAGCTTAATCAGCAGCAAGTTAATCTGCAACTACTTGGCACACACACACACACACACACATATTCACATTCAGTGGGTGTGCGGTCTGCGCTTTAAACTGGGCTTAGCGCTATTGGTGGTGCGGTGCGGGGGGCTGGTCTTAGCACATAAAGTGCACTAAGATATGGCGCAGTTCATTAACTTAATAAATATTCTATGTACACACTCACACACATACACACAAACAACGCCAACAGCAACAACAAATAACAGTAACAATAACATAAATAAACAAGCTTTAAATAGTCGCTGGGCCAGCCAAAAACTTCATCAAGTGCCAACAAAAGTTACAACAACAACAACAACGAAAATCTCAAGGTGAATTATGCAAAAAGTGTTGGCCGGGGCGAATGGAGGAGGGGAGGCTAGCAGCCAAGGCAGGTTTACGAATAAGTTCCAATTTTCAAGTTAACAATGAAGCAGACGTCGCGACTGGCTGTGTGTGTGCCTCATTGGAGAGAACCCCAGAGAGTCTGAACTGTAGTTGAGCTAAAGGGCAAATAGCCCAAATCCGTTGGCAAGAGGGAGAGGCAGAGGCAGAGCGAATACCGTAAGGAACTGCCAAAAGTTTAAACACAAATAGGTACGTTAATAGGTCCAAATTATGGCAACTTCTTCGAAGAGAGCTGGAAGATAGCATGGCGATACAGTGCGTCAAAAATATAGAGTAGATTTTTTAAATGGAAACCCGACGATATCAAAGCATTAATGCATTGCCTATACCCTGTAGAGGGTATCTTAAGTTTGGCATTAACTATGTTACTCTTGGCGAGAGACATCTCCATGTACAAAACATTTATTATTTCTCGAAAATGTTGACCTAAACCTGAACCAAACCATAAAAGAATTCCAGGTTGAGGTTCGGCTGTTCTAATGCGGCGATAGTTTCAGTTCATTATATTTACAAATTGGAATTTCGGTTCATGAACCGTGTTTAAGGGTATCTCAAGTCCTATATAGGGAACTATGTATATCAAAGTGTAAGAAACAGAGCATTAAATGGCGTCATATATATGTATGTAATATATGTCTGCACACATGTATCCATAGCATCCAGTTGTATCTGCTGTCTCTTTTGTTTTCTTTGTCTATAGCCCGCTCTCTCGCTTTCTCTCTCCCTCGTTCACGCTCAGTTATTTAACACCTTGCAATCGGCGCGATGCTCATGACATAATGTATAAAGCGCAGTATCTGCTCTTAAATAACCCGCATAGCTGACCGAATTAGATATCAGAGTTCCATAGGGTATCTGTTATTGTGTTTTATTGACAAATTGATAAGTTTATCGGACCACTGGTTGCTCGCCAACAAGAAGAAGAAGAGAAGGAAGAAGAAGAAGATTAATAACTTATGTGACTTTTGGCTTAACTAGCAAAACTCAGACTTTATTCAACTAGAAACACACACATATACGCATACGCACACACACACACACACACACATTCCATTGAGACTAGCCTAAGATAGTACAAATAGCGCCTTCCACACAGCCTCTGGATAGGGGGCGGTCGGTGGGGGGCGTGCGTCTAGACCGTTTGTGTAGCCACATGACGTTGGCGACTGCGTTTATAGCAGGCATAAGCCTCCAGGGCGTTTATGCTGAATACGGTTAGACCAAAGAACTGCAAGGAAGAGAGAAAGGGAGAGAATGAGAGAGGGATTTAAAGAGATTTAGGGTATTTACTCACCGCTGCAGCCGTGTAGGCACCGATGTCCAGCGCGAGCACCATACCGGAGGCTATAAAGTGGGCCAGCGCCAGCGTTGCGTGCACGCCAAGCGACCAGAGCGTCGCGTCGCAACTCCAGCTCCAGCTCTGGCCGAGACGCAGGTAGCGGCAGACCAGCAGCGTCAGCGTCGTCAGGCAGCCAAGCAGCGCGACGATCATGTAGAAGCAGCCTCGAAAATTGCTCAGACGCACCGAGCTGCACACAATGCAGAGGAATCCAATGAAGCCGCATAGCTAAGGAGAGGCGCATGCACGGAAGGGTTATAGAGAAGAGTGGGCGTGGTCAGTTAAGCTACTTACCAGGCAGGTGATCTTGGACAAGCCGCCAATGCTGCGCAAATACTTGCGATCGTGGTCATCGTTAACAGACATGACAGAGACGGCTGCCAAAAGCAAAACAAAGCACACAGTTAACAGTAAACAGCAAATGACTATGACGGCAACAACAACAACAGCAAAAACGACGACAACGACAACGACAGCACCAGCGAACCGCTAACTACAACAAATGCACCCTGTGCTCACAGAAAATTCACATTGCGCGCGGGAGCAAGCACAAAATGCCACTGGCGGCGGCGAAACGACTGAAAGCTTAGAATGCCAGCAGCGGCACGCATGCAAGCCTATTACTCACGCAAGCAGAGAGCGAACGCATGAGAGCGAGCGAGAGTGCGATACAAACATGTACACAAATACACGAACATGCACATGTACTCAATTCGCACAACGCAGAGAGCGGCGCTCACAGCGACGGCTGTAATTTGTACCATAAATCAAGAAGAAATGTACCGCACTCGTCAAAAATGTACCATTGGTATATGTAAATGCTTAAGTTTTTTATATTTCAATTTAAATTAACTATAATTTTTTGAAAAATTCTTTATTTGAATTAATCATGTGAATAGGAATGAAGTAGTCGAGATTTGCACGCATGTGGTATTTATTGATCACAATTTAAACCAGTTTAAAAAAAAAATAGAATAAATTAAATAATTCAATTTCAGGGATTCAAACAACTGTTATAGTATAAACCTTTTTTTTCTTTTTTGTAAATGTAAATTCAAGCATACACGAGTAAATTTTTATTCTGCTTGCTTTGTCGTATTTGGCTAGCTTATAATTCTCGAGCGGTTCTAGCTTTGGACTAGAAAGAAGGTCTTGCAAATCTAGGGTCTGAAAAGTCTACTGCTGATAAAACCGGGATATTCTTGAAATACTGACAACCTGCTCATTCGTGATGCTTAAAACTCTTTTGCTGTTCATCGATTTGGCGAACATTAAACTCGAGCAGGCCAGCTTAAATTTAGTCATCACTAAACAGCTCCATAAAAACATATTTTCATTTAAAAATTATTGTTTCTATATAAAAATAGAAAACATATATATAATTTGTTTTGGTTTAGGAAAAAGTCAACATTAAAATTGGCTCAAAAAAATATAGGTGGAAAATAATGAGCCAATTTGTTAAAGAACACTCAATGGTACATTCTTAGTGAATAACTTATATACATGTTTTGGTACGTTTGTACCATATGTTGATCTCTCTTTCGCTCGGTCTCTCTCAGTTTTCTGCTTGTTCTCTGTTTGCGTCTGTTTTGTGTCTTTTTACGGCTATCGGCCTTCTGATAAATCTTGCTCAGCGCAAAACTTGAATGGGGAATGGGAAGCAAGCTTATCAGCTGACGATCCGTTTCTCTTGTTTCAAATTAGCAGTGATGAGCGGCCTTCGTTTCGTACCATAAATAAGTAATTGCTCAAATAAACATACACATATGTATGTATATAGCTGTGTGATTGTACTTACATTTGACTGTATTCATACTCTTGAGTTCTAATAGCCACGTGAGTCATTTACGTGTGGAAATGCAGTCCCGACTCTCTGATTCATTCCATACGCTAAACATAAACAAATGGGAAAAATCGTTAAGCCGAAAACAAGAGCGCAAATGACACACCGACTGACGCATGCTCTATAAAAATATTATAGAATCTAGAACAGATGTAGTCTATCTATCGAGCTTTTAAATTGTGGGATAACTTTAGATAGCTTGAAGGATATTATTAACCAATGTATATATACATGATGTAGCGAATTTCCGACCTTTTATTATATTTATTTAACAAACTTCTTTAATTGTTTATTCATTTCATTTATTATTATTATTATTTTTTAGTTCTGAAACAACTTTAATCGTCTCATTAGCCGATTGGGTTTTCAATTATTGATTGCAATTAGTTTTGTAGCTTTACAAAATGCATCGCATGGCGTATGTACTCCATTCACTTGAATGTGAGTGTATTCGGGCTCGTCTACACCCCATCAGTTGAGTAATACTTATTTTAATTGACTCATATTCACTGTGCTCTGCATTAGATTTGTGTTTGGGTGGGGCGTGAGGAGCACATTGAATCGTTTCACTCGTAGCTCCTCACTTGGCCAAGGTCGTTGCTGGCACTTGTTCTCAAATCGGAACGGAAACATATGGCACCATCAATGATATGTGAATACCATAAGGGTATATAGCATAACTTTTCTAAAACTGGTCTTTAAATTAACATAACAGATAACGTAGTACTACGAGAAGTCCGGAAATGGGCAAATGTTGGACTTGCGTTAGATAGATCGCTAGACGAATGTGGCTTATGTTATCATCCAGAAGTCGTGCTCACTGGATTTATTTTCAAATTTTACTGATACGAAAAAGCGCGTCAACAGAATTTATTTAAAAATGTCGAATAAATACTTTGCTGTTAAGCATGCTTCAAGCAATTGTAGATCTATAGCTATTCTATCGGTAGAGATATGTAAGATACATTAAGATATATTAAGATATATAACATATGTAAGCTATATAAAATACATAAGTTATATAAGATATATAAGATATCTAAGATATCTAAGATATCTAAGATATCTAAGATATTTAAGATATGTAAGATATAGTATACCAGCATATGTAAGATATACAGATATATAAAATATATTAAGACATATTTAGATATATAAGATATATTAGATATAAAAGATACATAAGATACATAAAATATGTAAAGTATATTAAGATACATACGTTATATAAGATATATTAATCCGATGCTGAAGGTACTTGCGAATCTTATAAACTGGCCAAGATATCTTAAAAAAACCAAACCGTTTTTCAACCGAAATTAGAGCTCTCGACTAATCATTCCTATAACAGCTATATGATATAGTTAACCAATCCAGCCAAATCCGACATATGTACTATATGCAAGAGACAGACGGACCTATTCGTAGTTTTATGACGGCAGCTACGAGACTTGTATCTATAGAAATGAAGATCAGAAATGTCTCTTCTATGTTTTACTCATTACCTGTATTAATTATAATACCCACTGCAAGGTTAACCGAAAACCCTACGTACTCCTCATTTTTGGGTGCATTTCTCATACGCCTTTCAGATGTTCATATGACTGCAAAAGTGCATTACTAACATGCGAAGTATTACAGTTTATATGCCAAGCGCTTATCATAGAATTTGCTTTATTTGAACAGGCCAATTGTCTTTGCAGAATTTTAAATAGCGATTTATATAGATCACAGTGATTAAATTTTGCAATTCAATTTGGTGCATTTGTTTGAAATAGTTTTGCACATAATCTCTAATAGACTGTGCTTGCCATGCACATGGATAAACGAGTGCAAATGTCCTTTCAAAACGGACCGCCAATTAGATAATGGCTCTTCACAACATTTAAATTCAGTTTATTCGCTAATTCAGATGTGCTATTATTTCGCTGATTGCGTAGTCAAGTATCGAAATGTGTTCGATTTGAAATTCCAAACAATTTGGCCAACAGTAAAAGGCCAATTGTCAGTTGTGAACGTGTGGGTGCTATTTTAGCTGTTGCCATTGTGGCTTGTGTGCTGTTTATTTTTGTTGTTTTTTGTTCGAGTTGAGTGCACTTCACAAATCCGCTTGCCGAGTGCCATTTGTGCTGTGCAATTTGGCGCCAGGCAACGTTTTACAATGCCACAGCGCGTGCAACAAAATGCCCGACAGCCCGCTCAAAGCTCAACTTACCTAATGCGACACCGCTGCCCCCTCGTACCTCATAGGTTCAGCCACAAGCTACTCCTCGAATTAGCTATGCGTGCACTCTCTCTCTCTCTTTCTCTCTCTCTCTCTGGGCACTTGCCATTGGGCTCTTTCTCTTTCGCATTAAGTATATTTTTATTTTTTTTTTGCATTTCGCAATTCATAAAATAATAATTTTTATGATTTATGCACATGGTTGAGCATTCCACCCACTCCCGACAGGCTGCTCATAGAAGCCAATTGCACGGCTCCCGACTTAGCCCCAACATGCCAATTCGCTGCTGGTTGCCAGCCAACTGCTAATTTCTTTTGTACTATTTTATTTTATCGCCTGCCACGCAGCCGTCAGACGCGTCGTATGAGCAACTCATTCAGCACACACACACTTACGTCTCCTATGAATGTGTATGTGTGCGCGTTGCTGTGGGTGTCTAATTATAAATGCAGTTGCCGTAATTGGCAACTGCAGCGGTAGCAGTTTTTGTTAAGTTGCCACGAGCAGCGACAGAAGCAGCAACAACAACAACAACAACAAAAGCAGTTTCATTGCCTGACCCATCAGTTAAAACAGGAGTTATCTGGGCCAGTTGCAGACGGCAGCAACCGACTACTAGATGCTCTTTTTTAAATGATACCTGTATAGGTGCTCCAGTCAGGAGTGTCCTATGAGGGGATACACCGTGCCCATCTTCAAGCTGAATGTCGTCGACCGTTCGATCGACCTTTTAGCATGCATTCATAGAAAAACGCGCGCGCACACACAGACACACTCACACACACGAACAATCGGCTTTGCCTCTTCGCTATAACCCACACTATGAAAATTCATTCTTAAATAACTTCTCAATGCGTGCACATACTAAAGCTGGAAGATATAAATTTAAAATTGTGTTTATTGCTTTAAGTTTTTGGAGAACACAGGGAGATATCTCATATGTGAATTCTATAGCTACATAGAAAACTTGTTCTTGGGCTTCCATAGTTTCCCCATAAGGCACATACATAAATGTATTCTTTTTAGTGCCCAGCTGAACTTCTCGTGGCAGATGAACCCATTTTTTGCACGCTAATTAAAGCTCGGGACTTAAAAAGTATACATATACTCGGGCTTATACGCGTCAGACAAAGTGTTTAAATTGCCACAATTGTCCGCTCAATATGTAGTCCAATAATGCCATGTAGAAAGAATAATGCGGCCACGCATAAGCCTGTCTACACATATTGCGAAAATGTTTTCTAAGGTCTGAAAGTGGGGTAACAGTCTTCATGTCACCAATCCACTTATCAAACAAGCTCAATTCGATTCAATTTAATTGTCAACAGAACTGTGCACAGGGTATAGTGTAGTTGGGGGTAACTCGCAAAGGTTTTCTGTAATCAATTTCCAACTCCTCCTCGATACACGGCTTCAGCGATAATTTTAGCTTAAGCTAAGAATATTATCCGATTTTTATCTTAGTGAACTCTGGCATTTATTTTGCAAGGCATTGCGAGCTCGCGCCTCAGAAGTGTTTCACTCTTGGACTGCTGGGCGTTAGACCAAAGCGCCATATGCCAATGACACGCCCACTTCACACACTTCACAGTCGGAGCAGGCAATTCTAATGCAAATTTCGTGGGGCATACCCTGACAGGGCCAGACTCTTTGGTAGCTGCAACTGACAGGCCTTCGGTGTGCCCAGTCGCAATCGTAATGGCAATCGCAATCGCAATCGCCAACCAAGTCAACCCGGGCATCCCGGGCATCCCGGGCATCCCGTCGCAGTCACCCCAGGCAACCCAACGCACAGTGGAATCCTCTCGCGCATTTACGCTTCAAAATTCTATGCAACTATTTCAGATTGTTATTAACTATCTATCTATCTACATACAAAAGACTGTTTGTCCTGACTGACTGACTGATTGATTGAGTGACCGAGTGATTAATGATCAACGCAAAGTCCAAATTATAAGAGCTAGGAAGCTGTTGTTAGCTTATTCCCTGGAATTCCAGCCGCAACTGTGGAAAATTGTTGGAAATGCGTATAGGGATTATTTAATTTGATCTTGGTTGCTTGTTGCATTTGAGTTTTGACCACAGTGCACTGTGTCTACAGCATTTCAACGACCTCGGCGGATCTGCCAAGCAGGTCTGACACTGAATCTAAATCTGAATCAGTGCATATTGTGCCGACAGTGTCTGAGTGGATGACGGGAAGCGTGCCCTGGAACACGGCGCGGTACTCTCAGTCCTGTGTGTCCAGGAACAAGAGACTTTAAGCAAACATTTATTCGCCATATAAATGATTATCGTGCGCACTCAAGTGCCATCATCATCAATCAAATATGAGTGCAATAGGATTGTGTATCCTCTGTATGCCATGTATCTGTTGCCATATCTGTGAGTGTGTATCTGTGTATCTGTAAGTGCGAGCGTTAAACGAATGCAGTTTCAGCAAACGGAACCGTTTTCGATACGGATTTCACATTTTCCATGGCCTGCGGGTAATTTATGCTAATGAATTGCCTTCCAGCTCGGTCCGATTCCGATTACATTTTGCTCCCGCTCTCGCTTTTGCACCATCCATCCAGTCATCAATCAATCAATTTTTTCACCGCTGTCTCAAGTGCTTAAGTGTTCAGCTCGGGCTGCTCATTAAAGGCACAATTCCCGCAACCCGCAGCCCTTATTCAATAACCCCCAGCGGCCAAGCTCTGCCGACCATTGCCAATTGGCGATATGATATCTGTCAGCGGCAGTGCCAAGAAAATAAAAAGGAAAAATTAAATGAAATAATAATGTAAATGAAAGAAAAACGCGAAAGAAATACATGGAAATTCAAACAAGTTTAATTGGCGTCGACCACGCCTTCAATTTCTGCTAAAGCTTGGCTCTTCACAAGTCGCATGCAAATGGCTGCGTCTGCACATTTTAAAGCAATTTCCTCAACGTGATTTCTGATCAATTTACCGCATCCTGCGTCTAGCAAGGACTCGGAGCAATTTACGACTTCTGTTCGCCCACTTATGTAAGTGGTCCACAGTTTGGAAACTTGTCTAGCAATTTCCACACTCCGACAAGTAAACTGAACACTTTGAGATATTTCTCTCTCCCTCCCTCTCTCCTAACCACGCCCCTTGCAGGTATGCAACGCTCGCCATCAATTGTTTCCAGCTTGAAATCACACGCTGCAAATTCTCAAATAGTCGAATGTACTCACACACGTTCTCAGTTTCGCATATATTTTTCAATTTGAATCGCACGCTCGCCAGCTTGCCAGGCACGTAGTCCACGTCGCTGGACCATGACAAAGGCCCAGGTTCGCGTACATAAGACTTGCTTCCTCTAGAGCTTATAACCAAAGCAACTACCATAAATATTTACCACCTTTTATAGTTGGGCTAACAGATGAGTTTCGTTATAGCCTCGATTTCTCTATATGATTTCAATTTTGGTTTGATTTGTGTGAATGAAGTCCAAAATCTGATGCTTATCGAATGTTAACCGGCTTTGCAAGGGCCAATTCACAGCGGCAAAGCAAATAAGAAGTGTTGGTTGGTTTGGTTAACGGTTTGAACTAGCTTATAGTTCTAACTGTGGCTTGTTATTTACTTTAAAATTTGTATAAAAACAATTCAATTGTTTATTAACATTTTTCCTTTCCACCCAACAAGTTTTGGATGAAAATTATGGTTCGCTCGGGTTTTTGTTTGGTGTGGTTTGAAGTTTTTGAGTACACCTCTTATTTTATTATTTATTTATATATGTCATATGTTGTATTTTTTGTTATGATTCTTGTGCTTAAGCATTTAAAAACTAGTTGAACCCATGGAAAGGTTTAAAAATTGCGAATATATAAGAAGTGGGTATATGTATGCACGCATTAATGTACATAAATATAATACATACATTGATAAAAAAAAGCATGCATTGCATGCTCAGATAAATTGTTTTTCATTTCTGCGGTTCTGGGATTTACTTCTTGTCTTGTTCCGCTTTACGGTTGCGACATCCGTGAAAAGGCAAACTGCAGTTGAACAGTTGAGCTTGGCTTATGATCGTATGCCAAAAAGAGAACGTGTTGCTACTTATTTGTGCCCGGCCAAAGGTGCATACGACTCGGAAGCTGGCCCTTATGGTAATCAGCATTTGCATCCGTTTTGCATGCAGCAATTTGTGGCAGATGCTGCGCTGGCATTTCCAAGAGGAGCCTGTGCACTTGTGCTTAGTGTGAAGGAGCTGGATTCTGGATGCAGTTGATTTAACTGGCGCAGAAAATCAAAGGCGCTTCATCAGCGTCATTAATTTGATTTGTGTTGATTCAAAATCAACCAGAGCAAGAACAACAACAGCAAGAGCAACGACAACAACAGCAGCAACAGCAGCAACAACAGCAACAACAGCAACAACAAGAACAACAACAACAACAGCAACAACAACACGAGCAACAACAACAACAGAAGCAGCAGGGAACTTTTGCTAAATCAACTTCATGAATAATGCAACAAAAAGAACACAGAGCACTACACACACACACACACACACATACACACACACACTTAAAATGTGGATGGAGGCCACTATTGAGTTTTGTCGCCCTCCCTCCGTCGTGCAGGCCAATGCAATTACGCAATTTATGAAATTACAATAGCAAAGTGACTTTAGCAACAATTTTCGTTACACTGCTCCACACCCACACAGCCACACAGCCACACACCAACACATCCACTCACACACACACATGCATGCAGCATGCATATAACGGAAATTGCGAATAAAATATCAATGGCCCCCAGAGCAGATATGTTGAGAAAATGAAGCTGCGACAACAGTTGATGATGTTCCTGTTGTTGTTGCTGCTGCTGTTGATGCTGTTGTTGTTGCTGCTGCTGTTGCTGGCTTGTCGCTGGCAGTCCTCAACGATGATGAGATATTTCTACTGCTGCTGCCACACTATGCCAACACCACCCACTCCATACTTGCCCCTCCCGACGACATAACAATCGAATTACCAGTTATGCAAACTGGCAATTTTGCAGCGACATCTTAGTATCAAATGGCAAATCACATCAAGGGTTATCAATTTGTTGTGCATCCCACTTAATATGAAGCTAAACTTTGGCTGCTGCCCCCTTTTGCCATATGTGTGTGCGTCTGTTTCTGTTTGTGCTCGAGTGGGGGTAGTTTTTTATGTGGGCTTCTTCGTTTGTATATATTTCAAGTGAGTTGCTAAGCTACTGAACTAATAAGGCTAAGCCAATTTGCATATTTCAAGCCGTTTAATTGTGTCCAATTAGTTGAGTT